GTATTATTAGGAATTGGGACAGGAAAAGTGTTGGTCAGAATACAGCCCAGAGGTAAATCTGCAAGGAACTGAGAACGATGACTCAGGTGTCTGTAGGTGACTGAGAGAAAAGTGAGTAATGTATATTTATGGTCTGATAACATCTGATTTAAACCTGAGGTAAATAGCGTAGTAAAAAACCCCCATAATGCTGGAATGTCGTAGATCTCATAGGAGTGGAGTCAAGTGCTACGATAATGTGTCTGAAGCATCAGAATCACTTGTACCGTGTCTGCAATACAGATTGCGGGGCTTCACTGCCAGAATTTCTGATTACAACTTTATAGCAAATCTCCAGTTGCTGCAGATGCTGTTGATCCAGAGACCATACTTTGAGAACTGCTGGGATGAAAATTCAGAGGAGAAAGGAGTTGCTTTCTTCCAGTGGGAGAAAGGAACATTAGTAGAGAATCTCTTTTAGTTCTCCATGGTTGCTTAGTAAAAGTTTTACATCACCATATATCGTACGTTGACTCAAGAGAAAAAAGTAATTTCTTTTTTAAATTTTATTTTGGGTCACCTATTTCTCACTCTGCAAATCAGAGATGCAGAGAAAATGCAGGCTTTTTATATTGCAAAAAACTAACGTGATCTTCTTTACAAGAACCCTACCTGCCAGATGGCCAGACAAAAGTTGATGTTTGTCCATTCCATTGAAAAGCAGTCATTTCAGGTAAATGTCTAATCTCTTTGGGGTCAAGTGTTTGGTGTTTGAGATTTCACCTGGCAGGATGTGGTTTTTGTGACGTCGTGGCTTTGGGGGATGGGTCCTCTGTTCTATGTGGGTTCCCTGTTCTGTCCTCTTGGCTTCTCAGTTCTTTCGTCTACCAGCCTCTTGGTTGAGGTCAACCACTAGTCTAACTCTCTAAGCTTGATTTCAGCCAAGTGTTTCTCCTTGATCGATGTGGCATAACCTTGCTCAGCCAGGAGCTTGGTGCCCTCTGAACGTCTGACCTCTTCTCTATCTGGCCACTGGCCTAGTTTATGCTGCTCTCTCACTTCCACCACTGTGCAGGGAAGAATTTGCTACAGTAGTCCCTAGGCAGTCCTTCTCAATCTCAGTTTAAATGAATTCTGAGTCCCTGACAGATTTTATGGATCCCATCTTTACCACGGAGGAGTGAAGGCAATTTAAACTGAAATCTCAAAATTAGTTTGAAATCTCCAATTTAACCTTCTAAGCAGTGACACCAGATTATCAGTTTTTCTTTTGCCATTAGAATGGGGTTTACCTGGAATATTGCCTCCTTTTCTAAACCTAACTGGTAGCTGAGTGAGACCCCTTCTGTCCTCGACATTTTTCTCAAACTATCCAGCATGCTTTTTTCCCTCCTCTTTAAAGCCTCAAAGGACCAAACCCAATCCACTGCTGTGAGTTGATTCCAACTCAAAATGACCCTCCCTGGGTTTCTGAGGCAGTAAATCTTTGCAGGAGAAGACTGTCCATCTTCTCCTTTGGAGCAGCTGGTGGCTTAGAACGGCTCACATTTTGGTTAGCACTGTGATGATATGCCACCAGGCATCATTACCCTGCCTCTGTATTTCATCCACTCTTAGATGCACCTTCCTCCATATTTTCTCATCTTTGAAGCTGGGTCTTAGAGTTCATGCTATATCCCAGCTTAATTATCAGAATGCTTTATTTCTTGGCCTATAATAAAAACCTATAAAACCTAAAAAGGTGACCTTTGGAACTAACTTATACATAACCCTGGAATCACTTCTAGCTGACCCTCCAGTGGATTTTGGGCTATATCACAGTCTTTCTATGCAAATTTAGTCTCAAGGCAGAGTGCACTAATGGCACCAGGCCATTCCCCTCCCTTCTGAAAGAGGTTCTCCTCTAAAAGGGAGATAAAGAATTTAGTGTATTGTTTCTCCAGGCCTGGCTTTCTCATATATTGTCTTGACCACAAAGCCTGGAACAGTACATTCCAGTTTTAGTACAATAAGTCTGGAGGGCTTGGCCTCTGACGTGGAGTTTTGCAGTAAAACCTGATTTAAGAAACGAAAACCATCTGTTTAGTATTTGGAGCCCTGATGATGCCATGGTTAAGTGCTCAGCTATTAACCAAAAGGATGGCTGCTTAAACCTACCAGCTGCTCCATAGGAGAAAGGTGTAGCATTCTGCCTCCATAAAGGTTACAATCTTGAAATCTCTATTGGGAAGTTCTCCTCCATTTTATGGTGTCACTATGCATTATAGTCAACTTATCAGGAGTGGATTTGATTTTCTGCTGCTCTTTTTTAATACTTCAGAATAAAGATTGTCTGTTACACACTTCACAAAAGTGTAAGCAAAATATTTTAAAAAGCACATTTATTAGTAATGGCCAAGTTTCATACATATAGAAGTCTTTCAATACATTTTAACTGTTGGTAATTAATATTCTAATGTAGATTGTTATTGCAGTTGTTATGTATCTTTGAGTTGGAACTGACTCACAGCTGACTCTCCAGCAGGTTTTTAGAAACAGTAAATTACACGTGAAGAGATTTCTTTTTTGGAACAGCTTGTGAATTTGAACCATGTAACTTTGGACTGGCAGTACAATTCTTTACCACTAAGCCACCACCAGAGCTCTCTAAAGTTCATTCTAAAATTTTAATATAAATTGGAGTACCTTTGAGGTAATTTATCATTGAAGTGAGCATTTAGAAAACAAAAATTGGTTCATAATGAAAGTAGGTTAATTATCTACAGTCTAGGGAGTAACCTGTGTCATCTTCGTAACGCAAGTTATTGAGGAGTCTTCTTCTGATCCTGACGTCACATTATTCTTCATAGAGTCTGGCTTCACCACCAATTATTTGCTTAGCATACAGATTGAATAGGTATGGAGAAAGGATACAACCTTGATGCACACCCTTCTTGATTTTAAACCATGCAGTGTTCCTTTGTTCAGTTCACCCAACAGCTTCTTGGCCTACGTATAGACTCTGTATGAGCACAAATAAATGTTCTGGGATCCCTATTCTGCTCAATGTTAGCCATAGCTTATTGTGGTCCAATCAAATGCCTTTGCATAGTCAACAAAACAGGTAGACATTCTTCTGATATTCTCTTTGCTTTCAGTCATGATCCATCTGACATTGGCAGTTATATGCCTGTGCTGTGGCCTCTTCTAAACTCAGCTTGAACTTTTTGGTGGTTCCTTGTCAAGGTACTGTTCAGCTGTTCTTTGATGATCTTCAGCAATATGTTGCTTGCATGTGATATTTGATGGCATTGTTAAGATAATTTCCATACTCTGTTGGATCACCTTTCTTGTGAATGGGAACAAATACAAAATCTCTTTCAGTCAGCCAAGCAGTCCTCCAAATTTTCTGGCAACAGGATCAGAGGAAGTCTCGTCAACAACCTGCATTGTGCTGAGGACCCAACCTTGCTTTCTGAAAGTGAGAAGAACCTTAGATATTCGCTGCAGAAGATAAAAAACTACAGCCTTCAATATGGATTACATCTAAACATCAAGAAAACAAAGGTCCTTACTTTGGGCCAACAGGCAACGTTATGATAGGTGGAGAAAGCATAGAAATAGTCATTTTCATCTTGCTTTGATCCATAATCAACACTCTTGTTACTAACAGGAGAATAGTACATATATTGCATTGGGCAAGTCTGCCATCAGAGACCTCTCCAAAATATTGAAGAGCAGTGATGTCAGTTTGAAGACCAAGGTGTGTTTGATTCAGGCCATAGTTTTTCTGGTTACTTGCTATGCATCTGAGAGCAGAATGATGAATAGGAATGACAGAAGAATTGATGCCTTTGAGTTGTGGCATTGGAGAGTGTACTGAATATCCCTTAGAATGCCAAAAAATACTCAAACAGATATGTCTTAGAAAAAAGTGCAGCCAGAGTGGTCTTTAGAGGGAAGGATGGCAAAGCATCACCACTCATACTTTAGTATGTTTGGACTAGGAAAGGCTATTATTTGGAAAGGTATATTGTGCTTGAAAAGGTGGAAGGCCAGTGAAAGAGAGGAAGACCCCCAATGAGGTGGACTGACACGGTGACTACAGCAATGGCTCAGACAGCATTCACTTCTGTTCTTTATAGAGTTGCTATGAATTACATTTGGCTTGACAGTACCTAACAACAACAAGAGGGAGTAATGCTTATTCCAAAATGATAAAGGTAAGATTATCACATTTTTGTGAAGACAAATTGTTTAAATACATGTCAATAATAAGTGATACAGGACACACCAAGATGATTATAGTACAAAACTCTAGGATGTTGTTGTTGTTGTTGTGTTCCATTGAGTTGGAACCAATCCATTTCTGGCCCTCCAACAGCTTTTCAGAGGCAGTAGATTATAAATCACACAGGAGGAGATTGCCCATACTTGTCCCGCAGAGCAGCTGGTGAATTCGAACTGTGTGCCTTTGGGATTGCAGTGCAGCTTCTTCTCACTAGGATACTAGAGCTCAATTTAAATAATAGGATGTTAATAGGAGGTTTTGACAAGAAATGCTAAAAGGACATGCCAAGTTGAGTATAGTATATGACTATAAGTTGTTGTTGAGTACTATAGAGCCACAATCGACCCAGCGGGTTTTCAGAGGCAGTAATCACACGTAGGAGTTAATAGAAGTTTTTAACATTACTTTTGTTAATATTTATTTTTTGATCTCTGATGACAGAATTTTTTTGTGTGTTTTAAAAAAACAATAGGCATGGCCACAATTATTAAGGTTAACAAAGAAAAGATAGATTTGTATGCGACACTATAATCTAAGAAGGGGATACAGAGGTTATGATTTCATTCCTAGTTTGTAGATGTAATCCATATTGAAGGCTGTATTTCTTATCTTCTTCAAGTCCTTTTCACTTTTTGCAAGCAAGGTTGTATCTTCTGCATAACGTGAAATTTTACAAAGACCAAGAAGTAGTTGTTTGGACAGAACAAAGGAATACTGCATGGTTTGAAATTAGGAAAATGTCCCTGAAGGTGATCGGTGATCATGGCCTTCTCGGCGCCGACCGCCTACCTGACCCACCAGCAGAAGGTGTTGCGGCTTTACAAGCGGGCGCTGCGCCATCTCGAGTCCTGGACCGTCCACAGGGATAAGTACCGCTACTTCGCCTGCTTGATGAGAGCCCGGTTTGAGGAACACAAGAATGAAAAGGACATGGTGAAGGCTACGTGGCTCCTGCGGGAGGCAGAGGAGGAATTCTGGTACCTTCAGTACCCGCAGCCGTACATCTTCCCGGACTCTCCGGGGGGCACCTCCTATGAGAGATACGAGTGTTACAAGGTCCCTGAATGGTGCTTAGATAACTGGCATCCTTCGGAGAAGGCAATGTACCCGGATTACTTTGCTAAGAGAGAGGCG